AGCCCCCAGGTCCCGTTCATCTCAAGGACAGGAGATTAGAACGTTACAGAAGAGGGGACCTCAGATAATTATCAGTCTGTTTGTCCTTAGCCGCAGCTCTGCAAGGAAGCCCAAGGAAGGAACGGGTCAGCTCTCCCATATCCCCAGGGGAGCATCATCAAGCCTGGCTGGCCAGAGCCTGGTCATCTGGTTGGTCCTATTGGAAAAGAAGATACATTAGAAAAGGGGCTCACAGTTGTGGTCTGTGCACAGAGAACAGCGGCATGGTGCAAGCAGTTATCTGGCCCACTGTAAGCCCAAAGAACTGCTTGAAGGTCACAAGCAGGGGGCCCCTGAGATGGCTCAGTAGGCAAAGACAATTAGTGCCAAGCCCGGTGGGTTCCATCCCCGGGAACCATGTAATGGAAGGATTCCCAAATGCTGTCCTTCAACCTCAGTAAGTGTGCTGTGGCCTCTGTGCGCGCGTGCACGCATGCGCGCAAACACACAAATACACACACACACACACAAAGAATAAATAAAAACATAATAAGGGGCTGGAGAGATGGCTTAGGGGCTTTTCTAGAGAGCCTGAGTTCAGTTCCCAGTACCCATGTTGAGCTTGTAACTCCAGTTCTGGGGGATTTCAAGCCCCCTTGCTGGCCTCCACAGCATGCACGCCCCCACATGCATGCATATGTTTAAAAGCACAGAGAAGAGGGCTTACAAAACTCTCACACATGCTCATGCAGCCATGGGTTTAGCTGCTTCTGTGGGGTACAGGGTAAAAAGTTCTGGAAGTCAAAGTTCTAGAGGTCACAGGGCAGTAAGGAACTCACATGGGATAGCTGTCTATGGAAACAGAAAATGTCTGTCATGGAGTGTTTGAACAGGGTCGAGAAGGGTTTGCCCTTACAGCTGTAATTTTGCCTTTTTTTTTTTTTTTTTTTTTTTTGATATAGCATCTCACTATGAATCAAAGGCTATCTTGCTGCCCTTGTCTCACTCCCCAAGTTCTGGGATTACAGGTATGTGTCACCAAGTCTGGCATAGTTCTGACTGCTTTTGAATGGTGAATGTGTGCCCTGGAAGTTCTGGGTATGTCCATGTGACCTACTAAACTGGTGTAGTGAGAATTCTTGTCAGTGACCAAGGTTGGTGAACTGTCTGGAAATTTCAAAAGTAATAGTAAAATAATGCTAATTACGTCCACATGCATAAATTACTTATGAACCCCTCTGTCTCTTTCCCCCTGCCAGCCGTGATGGTGCTGGTTAGATCTGATTTTTGAGTGGTGGGTCGTCATCAACCCTGACGTAGGGTTTATCATGCTTAAGCCCCAAAGTCACATGCTTTGGTTCACAGAGCTCTGTAAGTTTCTTTCTCAAAGCAGGCAGCTCTCAGCACCTGGTTAGAATGACTTAATCACACAAGCCAGACAGGCAGGCCTGGGGGACTGCCTGGCCCAGCCTCTGCCTTCGAAAGTGAGGGGCAGATGTCTGGTAGGAGCTGACTGGTCCAAGAGAGGGCCTTGCAGGGGAATCCCCCCACAACCTTGGTGCAGGGCAGTTAACTCCAAACACAGGAAAGAAGTGCATGCCCCAGCTCCTCTCAGGGTCTGGATTCTGGCTTATTCTGGTCCACACTGGGAGAGTATCAGGTTGCTTGAAATCATCCAGAACACCAGTACATTGCTAGATACAAGCCCAGTGTCAATGGTGAACCCAGACTTGAGGTATCAGAAATTCTGAGGAGGGGAAGCTGGTGCACACAGCTATTCCTGCTCGGGACTGTGATCCCAAGGGCAGCACCCCTCCTGTTGGTTATGCTACAGGAAAAAGGTGACGTTGTATTGCTAAAGTCATCCGAGCCCTTGTTAGCTGACTGTTGGGAGGAGGGCTGTACTCCGTGGGCCTGTCCCCACCAGACAAGCCCTCTAAGAGAGGGTCTAGCGGGCAGAGAGGGCCTCTTCTGACTTTGAGAAGGTAGGGTGCTATGTGAGAGGGCCTATGAGAACTGCCACCCCAAGAACTCTGAGCAGCCAATAGGAATGGGGGCCTCAGTCCTTCCATCCCAGGGAACTGGAGGTTCTGTCAACCTCAGGTGAGCTCAGAACTGTCCGGATTGCCTTGTCTGATCGTGAGCAGCACCTCCTGGCAGCAGCCCATATATGTAGGGCACGGCAGAAGGGAGGTTATTTGCCTTTTGCTTAATCGGCCTTCCCTCTTGCCTCTGAGTTGATTCACCCCGTCGCTGCCAATTCCACCACTGATATCAGAACCAGCATTTCCAGCCCTCTACTGTGGACTAGAGAACAGCAGTTCTCCAGGAATCTTACAGATTTTCACCTCGCTGGGTCTGCTGAGGTAGTCAGCCCCATGAAATGAGCAAATGCTGGTTGCTAGCCTCTCCAGTAAGAGACAATCACAGTGGAAATGCATGTCTGACTATCGAGGCAGCTGGCCTCATAGACCAAACGACTGGGGTCTCCGTTACTAAGTGTGATTCAGCTCTTGTTGCTATTTTTATATAAGTTGAATTAATACACCCATGCATGTGCTCTCCCATTGGTTCTTGTGAATGAGTATCACTGAGAGTGGGCTTTGTGGTTTCCAAAGTCCACACCGGGCCTCTCGTCTCTCTGCCTGCTGCCTGTGGATCAGAATATGCTCTCGGCTCCTTCTCCAACACCATGTCTGCCTGCTCCCTACCCTGATGATTGTGGACTAACCTTGAGGAACTGTAAGCAAGCCCCCGGCTGCATGCTTTCTTTGTAAGAGTTGGCCATAGTGTTTCTTCACAGGTATAGAACAGTAACTAAGAGAGAAACAGAACAAGTAGAGTTACAGTTACAGTTCAAGGCATTTAAAGACTACATTGGTGGAAACATCAAAGAAGCAGGTTGCCACAGGATGGTGAATCTTTGTCATAGGCTTCAGATAACTATCTGATGACATTCTTAGCTTTTGGGTAGGGAAGCTGGTGGTCTGCTGAGAAGATAGATTCCAAACAGTGTTTATTTATTCGTGATAAAATGTTAGTTACAACACAGAGGGGGGCAAGGAAAGGGCATTCGTAAGGATAGAAATAGCCTGAGGTAAGTCCAACCTCTGGACCTCCAATGTCCCAACCTCTCCACACCACAGCAGAGCTGACCAGTCAATCAGTCCTTGCAGACACAGCCTCTTTCCAGGAGTTTTGTCCACGCTTTCCATCTTCTTGCCTCCATCAAGTGTGATGTCTGCCTTTTCCTCCTTCAAAGCAGAGCTGCTGTTTAGGTGGACACCATCAGAATCCAGAGCAGGTCGGGCCATGGCACCTGCCGCAGCTCCTCACTTCTCACAGATACGACAAGACCTCTGCCCAGAGCACTTCCTACAGGTCTTTAGCTCTGGACTCCAGAAGGGGTGCACCAAAGGGCTAGCTGTGGCTGCGGAGGTCACATAGCTGCTTCCCCTCCAGCTTCCCTGTATCCTGCAGAGCACTCGGGGAGCAGAGCTGCTGTGAGAAACCTTCCCCATCTCAGGACCTATAAGAAGGACTGTCTTGTGGGCCTGATTTGTAATCAGAGCCCCAGCTACTGTTTTTCAAGCTATTGTTATCCAACTTGTGCAGCAAGGCAGGTAAAGCCAATTAAAGGGGCCAAACTGAAAGTGGAAAGCGGAAACAGAGATTTAGTTAACGTGGCCACATCCTGAAGAAGGAAAAAGAGACCCAGATGACCCCCAAGTTGGTCTTCATGGTACTGAAGCAAGCTTAGAATTTAAATAGAGGACCAAGGATACCTACATCTGTCTAACCAGTGTCGGACAAGGTAAGGTCCTGCCTACCAATGACCCATAATTGTCCAAGCTTCAGTCTCATATTGTAAGAAATTGTTGTTGTTAGAAATTCATGAAATCTCTTTCCAGGCGGGATGTCTTCTCCAGTAGGAGACTCCTGGGGAGAGTCTCACTTCTTTGGGGCCCACTGTTTTCAACAGTCTGATGATCAAATTGAGTTACTTGCTGCCCTGCCCATCTGAGGCTTGAGCTTTCCTCAGAGCCCCCACCGTGCTGTTGTCTGTTTATCTGGCCATGATGTTAACAGCTTTATTGATAAACTTCTTACCCCCTAACAATTTGCCTCAGCGTCCCCTTGAATTCCTGAGACCTTTCAGTCTCAGTTGTGACTTTCCCACTGACAGAGTAAACAGAAGAGGGCATAAGCACACCTCTCCACATAGCACAAACTCCACACCTCGGATGCCAGTCTAGGCACCGGGGATCTGGATCTCATTTAGAGACAAAGTGAGGTTCTTCCAGGCAGTGGGGACACCCAGATAATGTGGGCAGGAAGAGTTTCCTGGAGGACAGGGTGACTAGAAGAGGGCCAGTGGCTTCAGCAGAGAAACGGGTCCTTCAGGGACTGTTGGAAAGTCTCTTGGGAATCCAAGACAGCTGTACCCTCCCTCCTCATCATTCATAGTGCTGAGTTCCCCAAACTAATAATCCAGGTGAGTTCTGAGCACGGAGAGAATAAGCTTTTTGCCTGGGGTTCGTGGCTGACCTCAGCGGAACTGATTTCCATCTCCCTTCAGCCTGGAGCTTCTCCCTGGGATCCTCCAGCCTTACCTAGGCAATTATCTGCCCCAGGGCACACTCATCCCAGGCTCTGGCCTGGGGCCCAGCCCACCTGGCTGCCTCCCTAGACTTGAGCTGTTGGTATAAAGAGTTAATGAAAGAGCTGTTCTCCGAGTCTGTGATGCTGTTGGGAGTGAGCAACCGGTGACAGGTGAGACCTGGAAGTGGCTGAGATTCTGGGCTGCAGTCAGGTGACGGGAGTCAAGAACCAGAATGGACTTGTAGCGTACTCTGTGATCACATGATCTCAGAGTGGGGACTTTGCACTGGAGTTTACAGGAAGAGAAAAGGCCTGGCCTACAGGCTGGGGCCTTGGCTGAAGCTTGGAGAGCGGGGTTCCTATTTCCTTTGCCCTGTCCATTGGTGCACCCCCCCCCCCCCCCTGCCCGGGGCGGGCCCCCCCCCCCCCCCCGACCAGTCAGTCGTCCAGCATCCAAGGGAAGCATAGCCAGGGAGAAGGAGGAGGGGGAAAGGGGAGCCAGCAAGGACACCGTGGAATGATGGTCTGTTGAACTTCCTCAAAGTGAACAGGTGAGTCATTGTTTTAACTGTAGGGTCCCATGAGCGTGTGTGAACAAGTGTGTGTGTGTGTGTGTGTGTGTGTGTGCGCGCGCACACATGCATCCATGCAGATGGATGTCCCTGTGTTCTCAGAACCTTAATCAGAGGCAGAACTGAAACAGAACACTCCTTGAGTTTGTTCATGGCCAAACAGTGTCCTTGTTCAGATCACAAGTGGCTCACAAGGTCATATTCTGGGTAGGGAAATTCTGTTTGAATTTGCCTCTCAGAAAGTTCCAGTTAAGGGCCTTGAACATAAGCTGCCAGTGTAGGGAGGCAGGTTCTGAGGGGGTCTTTTTGGACAACAGCAGAAGCTCAAGCAGTAACAGAAGAGCTTGGCAGTTTCTTCTAGTATATCCTTTGAATCTGCAGCTTGATTTTTCTTTCATATCAAACGCTGATCTGAAATTTAGAGTGTTCATTCAGAATAAACAGTTTTGGGGAGCTGGGCAGGAGCACAAGGTGCAGCTTTCTGGGGTTCCCTCCTTCCTTGAATGCTTTTTCTTTGGTGGAGGAGAGGCAGGCTTGAGATTGCTGAAGAGGCACCAAGTTGGGATGAGAAGAGGTGCCTGATCTCAGCATGGCAGCCCTTGCCTTCAGAGAGACCTACAGTCTAGAGGAGGGGACAAGGACCACATTTCCAACTTTCTCTTTGAACAGAGGGTTCCTGCTTGCTGGTTTTTGGAGCTAGCAATATACAATCACTCAAAAAGTAATATGAGAACATCTATTTTGGTCTTATCTATTACAGGGAAAAATAATTAATACCAGAAAAAAACCAGTAATAGGGAAATGAACTATCAAATTGAGATAAGTGTAGAAACCAGAAAAAGCTGTGTAGACACTACATTTGATGTTATAACCAAGTTTTATGATTCTAGGGCAGAGTGTTTTTTTTTTTTGGAGATAGGGTCTTACTGTGTAGCCCAGAAAGACTTGTGGCAATCCCAAATGCTGGGATTATATAAAACAACTCATCAGCTTTGTTTTGGAGGCGCAAAGGCAGCATTCTTCTGTACCTTCCCAAGGCACATTTTGCCGCTCTGACAGCACCTGGATTGAGCTAGTGCCTCTGGAGTCCCCAAAAGCATAAAAACATCACACTCCAGCTTGGAATTGCTTGTCTTTGCCTTGGAAAAGCTGCTGGGCCTTCGGCAGTTGGGCCAGGCCCTTAGACTTCCTGCTCAGCTTCAGCAGGTGTCTTTGTGTGGGAGCAGGTGAGCTCAGAGAGCATTCCCACCCTGCTTCTCTCTGGAGGGCTCTGGCAGCTGCACCATCCACAGCCGCATCCGAGCCATGTACAGGTGGCCCCAGAGTGACCCTCGAGGGACCTTCAGTGCCTGCTGCCAGCTCATGCCCCTTTCTGCAAGCATACCAGGCACTCTTCCAAAATACATCTGGGTGTGATTGGCACGAAGGCCTGGGGTCAGAAAGCACATCAATCCAGTCAGAATCTACAGAACCACTTCCGGGTTCATTCAGGAGATAGTGAGCACCTGCTGTCCCCTCAGTGGCTATGGCGTGCTCCCTGAAGGCACTCAGGGTGGCGGTGACAACCCAGGGAGAAAGCTTGGATGCCGATAAAACAGGTATACCTATTTACATGCAATCAAAAGCTGACATCGTTTCAGTCAAGGGGACAGGGGGTGAGGCTCCGTGACGGCAGGGCTTGAGGTTTATGCTGGTGGTTGCTGGAGATATTACACTCAGGAAGAAAAATCCTTATCTGTGCTGCCTGTGTGAGATCAGGCCTCTGCCCTGAACCATAACCATAACAGGAGTTATGCAACCAGACAGCTCAGGGAGACCATGAGCAATGGGCTGGGACACAAGAAACCTGACGTCTTCACTCAAGAGGGCACCGGTGTTTTTGACCTCTGTTGGGTTCTTGCAATAAGTACGTTTGTATGCAGTGAGGAACAGGGCAGGAGCGAATCAGGATAAAAAGCCTGAGAGCTGTGGGGTGAGGCCATTGTAACGAGGTTCACGGACCTCTTCATGGGGCAGACACTTTCCCAGCACGCCTGCTTTCTTCTCCTCATCCCAGGCCACAGATGGGGAGGGAGGGCTGGGGTGCAGAGCGGAGCAGGTGTCGGGAGGACCTCTTGCTCTGCTCAAGGTGTCTGCATCCCACCTAGGAAACAACCACTTGCCCCACCTCTCTTTCTTCCTCCCTTCCTCCCGCTCTGCGTATGTGTGCGTGTGGTGTGGAGTATGTATGTATGTGAGTGTGTGTGTATGGTGTGTGTGGTGTGTTTTAGTCTCACCGAGGTAATTTTACCACGGTTTTTCTACCCTCCTCCATCTTCTGTGGTTGTTTGCAGACCATGGCGCAGGCTGGTGGGCCGCCACAGGCCAGCACCACCCCTGGCCAGCCCTACGTGAACAAGCTGGTTCTGCTTGGAAGCAGTTCTGTGGGCAAGACCAGTCTGGCCCTCCGATACTTGAAGCAGGACTTCAGCAGCGTCTTGCCGACTGTGGGGTGTAAGTGAGGAGAGCCCCGGTAGTGTCAGGTGGGGATGTGGTCCGCCCAGGATGGCCCCTGTCCTGCAACGAAGGCTGGACGTACCTGGATTGTGGGGAGGGGATGGATGTCCATCAAGGGCAGGCAGGCACATGGTTCCGCTTGTAAACAACCTTCACTAGGTCTCAGGTTTCAGCCCTGCTGGCAATTGTGAGTGTATAGAGGCAGGGGCAGGGGCTCTGGTCCCAGGACACTTGAGTGTGGCAGACTGGCAGGAAGGAGTTGCCTGAGGAAGACCTCATTTCTAGCTGCTCTCCAGCCAGCTAGTGAAGCTCTCTTGTAAATTTACTCTGTTGAGAACTTGATCTATGCCTGAGGTCACCTATGTAGGCTTCCCTTGGCTTCTGCATGGCTATGACTGTAGCTCTAACTTCACTAGTGCAATTCCTCAACATCAAAAGGTGACCCTCTTCCTGCTTAGATTTGGTCCACTGGGTCTGGTCTGTGGATGGAGCTGCTACTAGCGAAGAGAGGAAAAAACATGTCTTTGTGCTTGCTCATGTATGTATGTATGCATGCATGTGTTATGAATGTATTTAGGACAAGGTCTCACTATGTAGCTAGGGTTGGCCTGGAACTCTCTGTCCTCATGCCTCTGCTTCCCTGTGCTGTGATGGTGTGTGCCACCACACACGGCATGCTTTAATTTAGATCAAGGACAGGTAAGAGAGAACAAATTTCTACCCCCACAGCTGTCATTTGTTATTCAGTACAAGCTAGGTTTTTCTTAGCTCCCTAAGTGGATGGTCCTCCTGCTCCCAGAGCCCATCCGGAGAGAATGAACCATGGTGTGGTCAGGGGTTGGGGTGGGTAGTAGGTGTCTCTCATGCTGAGGCTCTCTGCTGGGGTCGGACTCAAGGACTGCCTTTCGCAAATGAGGCAAGCATTCTTCCATGGAGCTAGGCTTCCAGCCCTGGAAATTAATTTTTAATGGACACCTTGAAAGCCCTTAGAAAGCCAGGACAAAGCTAACTTTGCTTTTAGTTACTGCTTTTGGCTGGTGTAAAAAGTTACAGGCTTTTGAAGCCACATGCTGGGCAGTATGTTGAGTCTGTCATAGCTTTACTGCATAGAAGAGCAGGTGGGCTATGCTACAAGAGTGATCAGGAGCCATGAAGTCTGCTTATGCCTACCTTTGATGAATTCCTCTCTAATTACCCCCCTTTCATTAAGTCATTCTGCTAAAAAAAAAAAAAGCCAATATTTGAAATTTATTCTTGTAGAATTTCATCCCCCGCTCCAAACTCATCTGCCCACTCCCCCTTTCAACTCCTTCAGAAGCCCCACACTACATCCTAACCTCATCTCCTCTTTCTTCTCCTCCTCTTCTTCTTTTGGGCAACCACTGAATCCAGTTAGTGTTGCCCATAAGCACACGGGTGTAGCAGTATCCTCTGGAGAACAGGCAATTGACAAGAACCCATCTCCACAAAGAAAATCTCTCTCAGTCAGGCAAGGAGGTGCACACCTTTAATTCCAGTACAGGGAGGCAGAGGCAGATCTCAGCGAGTTCGAGGCCAGCCTGGTCTACAGATGAGTTCCAGGACAGCCAGGGCTGTTACACAGAAAAACCCTGTCACAAGCAAACAAACAAAGAAGCACACACACACAAGAAAAAAAGGAAAGAAAGAGAGAGAGAGAGAGAGAGAGAGAGAGAAAGGAAGGAAGAAAGAAAGAAAGAAAGAAAGGAAGGAAGGAAGGAAGGAAGGAAGGAAGGAAGAGAAGGAAGAGAAGAAGGAAGAGAAAAATCTTTCTTCTAACATGGACACTGTTGCCTGCTTTTGGATCACATCCACCTGGCAGCGCAGCCTTGCCTACTCTCAGGGAATGAGGATGTGCTCAGTTCTGATGTGACTTGATGTGCTGGGGAGGGCTGATACCAGGGAGGGGAGCTCCCTTCTTCTGGAAAAAGGGGAGAGGGGAAAGGGAAAGGAGGGGACTGGAAGGAGAGGAGGGAGGAGGCACCCTTGGGATGTAAAGTAAATAAACTGAGAAAGAGAGAGAGAGAGAGAGAGAGAGAGAGAGAGAGAGAGAGAGAGATAGAACCTTTCTCCTCCCTGAAGCCATCAGTTGCTAATAGTTCCTCAGCTAGGGACGAGACTTCCTGAACACCTCTCTCCTTCCAGCTGGATTCTATGGGAAGCAACCACAGAACTCTTTGAGAGCGCAACAGTTTGCCATGTCCAGGAGGCACTGTTTCATGTATTCCCCCTAAGCCCCAGCTCTATGATCTTTCCACCATCTCTTCTCTGATGTTTCCCAAGCCTTGGGGTGGAGCTGTGATGTAGATGTCTCTCTCATTCAGGGCAGATGACTCTTCAGTTGCAAACTAGTTGCAAACCTCTGTATTTCCTGGTGTCCACTGATGAGTGCTAAGAGCTGTGCTAGTCTAGGGGTACAGAGATAACTACTTCCAGGGCAGCTTGATGCTATGTCCATTTAGCAAAATAACAGCAGCAGGTTCTCTTTTAGGGTCTATAAGCCACAGTCATCTCACTAGTTCTTTCCTTCCTTCCTTCCTTCCTTCCTTCCTTCCTTCCTTCCTTCCTTCCTTCCTTCTTTCTTTCTTTCTTTCTTTCTTTCTTTCTTTCTTTCTTTCCATCTCAGAAGTGATAAGCTCTGCCCTCATTGGACTTGAGGGTTGGGTCTCTCCTTTCATACTCCATCTTACTATGTATCCCCCTTGTCTTTTCCCAAAACTACCCTAGGGATTGCCAGTCTGTGCAGACAGTTCTGGTGGTGGGTGACAGCTCCCTTCTTTCCAGAAAGGCTCAGCTCTGTGTTGCATAAACATCTCAACACCAGCTAATGCCATTCATTGCTTGTTCTGGAAAGCCGCTCTGCCCTTGTACATCTGCTGGGATTTGACTCTGAGGACTCTCATTGTGTTTCAACTGCAAGAGTAAAATGAGGAAGACCAAGATGGTGACTGGAGAATGCAGACCTGAGCCTTACGCCCATTTGTTATTCCCCTTCTCTCCCTCCCCCTCTCTTTCCCTCCCCCCTTCTCTCTGTGTTCATGTGGGATGTGCGCACATATGTGCATGTACACATGCCCACACAGAGGCCACAGCAGGATGTCTGGGGTCCTGCTCTATCACTCTCTACCACAGTATCTTGAAAAATGGTCTTGAACCCAGAGCTAGGCTAGCAGTGATCCTCCTATCTCCCTCCTCCCCCCTCCCCCATGCTCAGATTACGGGGCATCATGAGACTGTGTCTTGCCTCTTATATGGGTGCTGAGAATTGAGCGCAGCGATTCCTGCCTCATAGAAAGTACTCTTACTCACTGAGCCATCTCCCTGGCCTCTGAGACAACACTTAAGATGTTAAATTAAAAATTCCCTAGGTTAAATTAAAAACTCTCATTTGTCACTGTAGCCCTAGGATGGTGTCTTTGGGTGGATTTTTTTTTTTTTTAATTTTCAACGCATTGGACTGTCTATCAAAAATATCCCCAGTTTTCTTCAAAGCCAGGATCATGATCCAAAGTGAGAAAGAACAGACCAGGGTGTGTTGAATTAAACACTCACGTTTCTCTGGCGATGAGTCCAGACAGGGGAGCAACGAAGGCAGGAAGAGGAGTAGAAGCTGTTATGACAGACCTGATGTGGCGCTACATGTGTTTTCTCACAGGGTTTTACAACCACTCTGCAGGAGGTTACTGTTAGATCATACTAAACGGGAGGAAAGCGAGATTTAGAGGTCTAAGCCAGCTATTGAGGCCCACAAAGCTGAGGGGATTTGTGTCTAAGGCCACCCCAGGCCTTCATCTGCACAAGCTGTATTGGATGGTCGTAGCCATGCAAGCTGGGAGCCTCATCCTACTGTCCACATGGAGGCTGCTGCTTTGAGCGAAGAGCAATGTAGTTCGACCTCAAGCTCGTGGACCCTCAGGTTGTTTTCTCAGCCTGTGTCGGTATTGGGGATGCTGCCCCAATTCACAGGGAGAATCCATATCTTTTCAGAAGGTTCTATCCAGCCCTGTCTCTGCTCTTTCAAAGTGGATGAAAATGTGTTCCTAGAGACGAGTAAGCCCCGAGTCACAGAACCTGTGAATTGTGATGCCTTCTATGGAGACAAGAACACTTCACCGTTGGGTCCCCCAAGTCCATGACTGTCATCCTCAAGAAAAGAGGCAATGGCACAGGATTACGAAGGGGAGGCAGGTGTTACAGTTTCATTTCTGTTGCTGTGATGAAAGACTATGACCAAAGGCAACTCAGAGGGGAGGGGGGGTTCACTTGACTCACACTTTGAGATCACAATCCATTACTGAAGGAACTCAGGCAGGAATTGGAGGCAGGAACCATGGAGGATCCTGCTTACTTACTGTCTTGCTCTCTGTCTCACTCAGAGGCTCAGATTTATTTTTTTCTTAAAAAAATATTTTTAGTTTTAACTTATATGTATGGTATTTTTTGCCTGCCTGTACGTCTGTGCATACCAGGTGCATGCGGAGCTCATGGAAGGTGTTGAAGACCCTGGAATTGGAGTTACATGTGGTTGTGGGCTACCATGTGAATCCTGGGACTCAAACTCTGGGCTCTCTTGGAAGAACATCCATTGTTCAGTCATCTCTCCAGCTCGTCAGCTGGCTTTCTCAGCCTGCACTCTCCTGCCTGGGGATAACAGACCTCACAGTGGGCTGGGCCCTCCTATATCAATCCTCAATCAAGACAGTCCCTTACAGACATGTCCACGGGCCAATGTGACCTGGGCAGTCCCTTAGTTGAGACTCTTGCAAATAACTCCAGGCTGCGTCAAGTTGACAGTTGAAGGTAACATCAGGAGAGGCCAGAGGCTAGATGGGGTAGTAAGCCCATAGCCAAGGAACACCAAAGGTGGATGGAGTCTCTGGAGGCTGAGGAGAGGTACGAGTGGGTTCTCTCCTAGAGCCCTGAGATGGAACTGCTCACAGCTTGGCTTAGGGCTTCTGGCTTCCAGAACCGAAAGAATGGATTTCCTGTTTTAAGCTACTCTGTGGTCATACCAGCCCCCCAGGATAATTAATCCTCTCCCTGAGCTGGAAGTTTCTTTCCACCCATGTAGGTCTGTCTGCCAGAGCCTCCCAAATCTACCCTGGGTCTGTGTGGGGAAGTGGCTGAGGGTCACCCTTGGTCTCTGCTGACCCTTTATATCCTGGGCTCCCACACTCCTCCTGCCCCTTTCCTTCTAGGCCCCTAGTAGCTCACACACTTGAAGTTGAAGGTTTAAAATAACTATTTAAAAAATCCCATCAGGGCTGGAGAGGTAGCTTATCACTTAAGAACACATACTGCTCTCCTAGAAGACCTGCGTTCTGCTCCCAGAACCCACATCAGACAGCACAAGAATCTATAACTCCAGCTCCAGAGGATTCAATGTTCTTTTCTTGTCTCCGAAGGCACTGCATGAATGTGCCCAAGCCCACCAATACCTACATAATTAAAAAACAAAAATTCAACATTGGAAAGCAGAGCTCAAGGAAAAGAAATAGCTTCAAAGAAAAGCCGGATTGCATGTTACATGAGGGCTTGGAGTCGGTCTCTGTGATTTGGTTTAGCAGGTGCCTGAGTGAGGAAGGGAACCCCAGGAGCCACCCAGGACACCCGGGAGAAGGTGGGGGAGGGGCATATCGAGTGCTCCTTGAGCTGACACTTGTAGAGTTAGGTAACTCATGAGAGATTCCCAGGTGCAGAAGTGAGGACAGCAGCAGAGGAGTGAGCAGGGGAAGCAGGCTGAGGAGGTGACTGAGGGTGGCTTCGGAATGGGGCAGGTGGGTGAGTGGCCGGTGGGCCGGAGGGGCTGAGGCACAGGAATTCTCAGAGTTCAATGGCTTCAGTGCACACTGTAGAGACATGGCAGATTATCTGTTTCTGGAGGTCCCTTCTGTGTTGTTCTTAGCTCAGGGTCTTCTATTTCATCCCAAGAGTTTAGCTTCATCCCAAGGGGAACCGTGTAAGGGACACAAAGCAGTTGCCGGCTGTGCTCTGCTCTATAGAGGAACCCAGGCGGTTACTCAGCATGTGTGACTGACAGACATGACAGCTAGGATCCACGGACCCGCCTTATCCCTGGCGAACTCCCCTGCCTCCCTCTTGCAGGTGCGTTCTTCACGAAGGTGGTGGACTTTGGCTCCTCGTCCCTGAAGCTTGAGATCTGGGACACAGCGGGTCAGGAGAAGTACCACAGCGTCTGCCACCTCTACTTCCGGGGTGCCAACGCTGCGCTCCTGGTGTATGACATCACTCGGAAGGTAGGGTCACTCCCACCTCCTCCCCGGGCAACCATGTTCACTGCCTTCTACGGGGATCAATGGCAAGGAGACAGAACTGCGCCATGGCTTATGGGAACTACTGCATCAACCAAAGGGGCCTCCGAGCCCATTGCTACTCACCTCATTCAGAGAACCCTCCGGGCAGCCCCTCACACCCAGAGCCAGCCTCTGTTTCTCCTGGTGCACTCCTCACCCCCACAGCACCACCGTTACTGGTTTCAGTGCGCTGCTGGGATGGACAAAATCATCCCACTTCCATTGGCCATCTACCCCGTGTCACCAGGAGATGCGGAACACAGAGTGTGCATTGAGTTGACATGGAAGGACTGGACCCACATGCCCGTGTTTGTCCAACCTGGCCTAGGGCAGGGTGAGCTTGCTGCCCCAGGACCTCTAATAAGGAGGTGGGGAAGTAAGGACCAGTCATAGTGGGTGGCAGTCAGGAAGACGCAGCAGGTACGGGATCCCTGGGAGAGGGTCCTGATAAAAGGCAGTGGTCCAGAAAGTTTATGTTGGCACAGGTCCGGGGGTGTAGAGCGACGGGTTCCCATATCAGCCTTGATGCCAAGCATCAGGAGAAAGGTGCCAAAGGACACAGGGCCAAGCCCCTCACCTAGCCTATGGGAGTTGTAGTCAGGGACTGGGTGTGGGGAGATAGCAGTTCCCTCAAACCCTCTTGCAAAATGGTGTCCAGAGTGGAGATCCTGACCCCAAATGCCCTGTGACCCCACCCCCACATCCTGGCTCTCCGGTGTGCTGCCTGGATGCCCAGCCCTCCCCTAGCAGGGCCAGCCCATCCTGGGTGTCCTAGGGTGCCAGAGCAGCCCTCTGGCATTGCATTCTGGAACGAGGCCTTGATGAGGCCAGGTGCCCACGAGGAAGCGTTGCTCTCCTGGCTCAGCCGGAAGAACTCCAGCATGGTTTCCGTTCTGTCTCTTTAGGATTCCTTTCACAAGGCCCAGCAGTGGCTGGAGGACCTGGAGAAGGAGTTCCACCCGGGAGAGGTGGTGGTGATGCTGGTCGGCAACAAAACGGACCTCGGCGAGGAGCGGGAAGTGACCTTCCAGGTGCCACGTGGTAGCAGCAGGAGGGAGTCCTTGTCTCTGTGGACTTCTTTTGAGACCTTGAAACACACACACACACACACACACACACACACACACACACACACACTCACACTCACTCACACTCACACATTTACACCTGTGCCTCAGGCACTCACATACCCGCCCACATACTTGCACTTACCTGCACACCCAGGATTCCTCTATCTACACATATGCTCACACTTATACGCACACATGCTCACAGAGTCACACTTCGTGAACACACATTCATAAGCACAAACACGCGTGTGCCTCCAACGTCACACCCGCCTGCAGACCCGCACGTGCACTTGTGCGTGCATCTTGGTCTCCCTTTCGGTTGGAGAGCCACGCAGGAGGTGTGTGCACACATATGTACACAGGAAGCGTGGGTCGGGTGGTCCGAGGGAAGAGCGTGCGCGCACACGTGTGACCCACCACAGCCAGCCTTTCTTCTGTTGTCTTGGGGCAGGGCCTTACGTGTCTGAGGCTGGCCTGGAACTCAGCTTTCCGCACCAGCTTCCTGAGTGCTGGGGTTATAGGCGTTTTCTGGTTTCTTGAGAGTGAGTCTGGGGTCTTTGGGGGGGACTCTCAGAAAACAGACTGGCTTTTTCCTTCAGGAAGGGAAGGAGTTTGCAGAAAGCAAAAGCCTGCTCTTCATGGAAACCTCGGCCAAGCTCAACTACCAGGTGTCTGAGGTCTTCAACACTGTTGGTGAGTGACGGCCCCCACAGCAGCACGGGAGCCAGCCGCTGCTGTGCCTCTTCCCCTGGATCTTCTGGTGCCCCTGGGGTGGGGAGGGGCATGAGGAGGAGTGGCAGGAAGTGCTTGTGTTAGGGTTCTGCTGGCTGGATTCCCGCCCCAGTAAGCCTGCCCCACCCCCGTTTTCCACAGCCCAGGAGCTACTGCAGAGAGCAGGAGACAAGGGGAGCAGCAGCTCACAGGAAGGTGAGGCCGTGGTTCTGAACCAGGAACCTGCGGTCAGGCAGGGCCATTGCTGTGCGAGGTAGACGCAGGAGAACGTGTGGAGGACGTCTCAGCCGGTGCCTCGGAGGGTCCTCAGCCTCAGCTGCATCTTCAGAACAAGGCTGTCGGCTCTTTGTCCATTTGAATTCTCTGTTGAAGAAGGATTATGCCTGAGCCCTGGAGGCCTCCAGAAGTTGGCCTCCTTCCTGATAACTGCTTGCCAAAGCTGATGGGAACCATCTTGGGGAGCATCCGGTGTCAGATGGCTCCCAGAAGACTGTGGTTCCCGACTCACCAGCTACCACCCCATTCCCGGATCCCCTGAGGCCTGCCTGCCCCACCTGGGCTGTCCCTTTCACCTCCCTTGCTGCCCTCACAGGAGTGTTAAAGGAAGAAGAGCAGGAAAAATTCTTTGATCCTCAAGATGAGAAGACAGACTCCTCATAACTGGACTACCCTCATTCTGGGAGGTGTCAGGGCAGGAGAAGGGGGCTGATAAAGGCATCGGTGCAAATGGAGAAATGATCCCAAGGAAAAAAATGAGCCCAAGGTAGCAGGGCTCAGTGAGGGGACCCTGGGGAGATTGGAAGGGTGGCTGGGATGGGAGTGTCCCCCTTCCAGCTGTGGATGGACGGAGCCAGGCTTCTATCGAGTGGGGCAAGGGCTCTAAAACCTGGATGATGTGTCACCTTGTGTTGGTCTCTCCAAATATTAAACACCTTGGCAATCTGACCACGCCACGGGGTTACACTAGTACCCACGGCCTCACAGGTTACGCTGTTCGCCTTCCTGAACACACTCTAGACTGGTTTGTGGGCTTGTGGGGCAGTGCTTGGAGGGCGGGCACGGCATTGGTCTGGGTGGGCTGTCTCTCCTGATGGTGATTGTGTTATCTGCACTGTGAGTTCTCATCTTTAGAGAGACCCCCAGGTCCTTGTCCAGGGAGGAAAGCCCCAGAGAACGTGTTTGCTGGGTCTCTCTCTCTTGACACCTGGCTATGGCAGGATGGAGTATTTCAAATGTGTTGGGTCTCTCTCTTTTGACACTCGGCTATGGCAGGATGGAGTATTTCAAATGTGTTGGGTCTCTCTCTCTCTCTCTTGGCACCTGGCTATGGCAGGATGGAGGTATTTCAAATGTGCTGGGTCTCTCTCTCTTGGCACTTGGCTATGGCAGGATGGAGTATTTCAAATGTGCTGGGTCTCTCTCTCTCTTGACACTTGGCTATGGCAGGATGGAGTATTTCAAACATGGCCATGTAGGGGGCAATGTTGATATTTATCCTTGTTTCTGGGACTGTGAAAAGTTGCTGATTGTGAATAATGAGACATTGGTTGTAGCAGAAAGTCACCAGTGGCACTCTTTTAAAACTCTACTTTATTTGGGGTGTTTAGGCCTCTCCCTCCCTTCCACCAACCCCCAACCTTAAGTAAGAGAGAAAAAAGGTTAGTGGGGAGAGGGGGCCCAGACCCCTTTACTCCTCCTGGCTAGTTAGGGTCGGAAGGTTCTTTTATGGTCCTATGCCAACCTCGGTCAACAGCAGGTGCAGCTAGCAGGCTAGCTCTGCACTGCTGTGTCCCGAAGAGTTTCTCTCCGTCTGCTCCAAACAGCCACACCCTCTCTGGTCTCTGGTCTCTGGTCTCTTGGGTCTCTCCAAACTGCTCCATACCACACAGCAACACTGAACTCCACACAGTTTCTTTCTTGGCCTCACATTTATACTCTCAGAGTCCCAGACCACTCCCCTGTCCATGTGGCCTGTAGAAGGTCAGTACCAGCTGGCAAAAGCCATGCTCTGCATGTAACAATTAACAGGGGTGGACAAACCATAGCCCAACTAAAATCCCACAATTGGGGTTAAAACCAAAGCGTATTTTCACAACATACAAAGAAACCAAAACTTCCATCACAATTGCTGTTGGGTGTGGTGACGCAGGCCTTTAATCCCAGGGCATGCAGGGGAATGGCAAGCTTATTCTGGGCTGCAGAGTGAAAAAAAAAAAAAAAAAAAAAAAAACAAGAAACACAAAACCAACAGAACAAAATGAAAGCTAAAGAACACCCCCAAATGGAACACTGTTGTCTCTCTGAGGAAGATGGCCTCACAGCGTCCACTGTCAAGCTCAAATGGACAAATGTGAAACCTGTTTTATTCCGACTTCTTACCCAAAGTGTGCTCAGGCTGGTCAGGAGCTTGTCTGTGCCTGGGCTGTGATCTCTGCTCTTGTTGGCTTTGCTTGGACAGAACCAAACCTTAAGTTTCAATAGGCTCGGCCCAGGGACTGGAAGGAGCCTCCTGGTCCCACTGCAGCCCAGGAGGGACCGGCTGGAAACAAGCTTGACTTTCTGGGTACTGATGTAGTCCCGACCTGACCTAAAGGACATCTCTGTGAACCAGCTCCCGAAAGGCTTGTTCTCCTCATTAGCAGTGGGGAAATGCCAAGTGCTGCCGGGGAGATTCTCACCCACTCTTCCCTGGTTCGTTTTCCAGTGAGGCCTGTTGATGCTGTGCAACTGCTTTTCTGACAGATAGGGAAGATGGGTAGTGGCCACATGAGGGTTCTCTCATAACTGAAATAGGGGAGGCAAATATTCGGGCATCCTCAACGTTTCAATCAGGGCTGGGCTCCCTCCAGGCAGTGGGAGATGCCGAGACCAGGGTTGGCTATGACCACTAGGTGGCACTCTCGTATCACCTAAGACAAATCCCTCTGTTGGGTCCTGGGTGCCTGGAAACTCAGGTGCACCTTTTAACAGCAAAGTCATTGCTTTGAGGACATAGGAACTGGGGAGACACCAGGAAGATTTGTAGGGTTCCCGTCTGTCTGACTGCCAGTCTCCCTCTACCTTGGCTGATGAGTATTGCTTCCTTTGACACATTCCAGCAGAAAGCCCAAGACTGGATGGACCGGGTACCATCTGGCTTCCTGGCTTCTTGCCCCATCGGGCAGGTGAAACTCAGTGCTGTCCTGGACTCACACTCTTGAAATCGCTTACAGCTGAGAGGCAGGGCCCCGAGCTCATGGTCAGGGTTAACTTGTCGAGGTAGGACCGAGGACCCCATCAGAGGACCCAGAGCATTTGGACAGTGAAGCACAATGTTCAGCTAAGGTCCAGGTCTTTTTCTGAGACAGGAAGTGCAGGGGTAGAACAGAGAAGGGGAGGTGGAGGGAGGGAGAGAATTACTGACCTTTTCAGGCTCACATTTTGTGTTATTCTTGGGAGAAGCATGTTGAACCATTTGGGGCAATGTCTTGGTGGCTGCAGCTTATCGCCAAGTGTAGGGGACCCTAGGACGAGGAAGGGAAGTGGGGAGACGGATAGCTGATGGATCCATGTGGGTTGAGATAGTCATCCCAGTAGCTTTTGGAGTTTTCTGTATGTTCTTAAAACTGTGGAAAGATGACTATGCCTCCATTTGTCTTTCTGGATAAGGAGATGGTCGGGTCCTGGAGAGCTGCCATGGGAGGCTGTCGGCCAAGCTTGGCAGCTTTGCAACAAGAGCGGCTGCTGTTACCTGCAGGAGACCCTCAACAAGATCCAGCCTGTTGCTGTTCCTGCATAGAAGGAGGGCTGGGGAGGGTCATTGGACCTCCAACGGAGACCCCAGCCACTCCCCACTTGTGACCCCCCCCCCCAGCTGCACATCATTTTGTCCCAGGTGAAAGTGAATCTTGAAGGTGTTAGATCCTAGCAGTCTCACAGCAGCCCACGAGGTGACCCGAGGAAAACAGCTTAGACAGCCGCCAGATGACCCCCAGCTGAGACCCACGTTGGTGTATGGGTAGGAGAGCACCTCTGAGCTGGAGGAGGCCAGCGGAGGAGGCCAGCTCAGACCTCTACCCTGGCGGCTGAGGCTGCCGGCAACAGCTGGCCCTCCTCCATGCAGCTGATCTCATTGCCGCCTCAGCTCCCCCATGAAGCTCCGGGCTGACTTTCCCTCTCCACTCTCCTCTGACTCGGGAAGCCAAGTCAGGTGTGTGCCTTGACTCCAAAGCAGGATTCTGCAAGGGACAGGACCAGGGTGTGTTGAGGTTGGTGAGGGTCACTGTGTTGTCACTGTACTGGTAGAGCCAAGTAATACATTTGCGCAAACAGTACACACAGTACTGAACGTGAATCTAATGGACACCACAGGCAAAGGGTGATGGCATGAATAGCTTCATGGGCTGTAATGAATGTCCCCTGTCCTGCAGGGGGCTGGGAATGGAGCCCTGGGCTCCGAGGACCCTCTCTATCTCATCTAATTGTGCAGCTCCAAAACAGCTCTGAAAGTTAGTCTTAAAAAGTTCTAAGAGAAGGACATGGGTCGCGCCAGGGGCATTGTGCTGCCTTTCTTAGGGACCAAGTATCTTTTATAGTGTGTGGTCCCCTTGGCGTTATGCAGCGCGCAAGCTGAGTACGTGTTCAGGGTACCTTGGGTGGGTGGGAGCTTGGGGGAGCAAATGACCAAGGAAAGGACACCCCATTTCTGGGCAGTGGTGTGGCTTTGGGAACAGGAAGTTACAGATACACTTATATCACCATCCCCCTTCCCCCCCAACCCAGTGTAGGTCTTAAGGGACCAGGCCAACCTCCGCAGGGCCTGGTACTGAGAGCTCTCTGCTGTTCTATTGGGGGCAGGTCAGAGTCTCTTCTTTCCAAAGAGGCTCCTGGGCTCTGAGCTGCTTTCTCAGTTAACTTCTCAGGAGAGAAAAAAACATCTTCCTGTTTGTTACCACAAGACTACAGTGTACAGTAAACAGCACTTTTATTAGAGTAAAGGGAAAGCAGAGGAGAGGGAGGGGAGGCTTCACAGGGGAGCGGGAGGTGGGGGAGGCCCCGCAGGGGAGAGGGAGGGTGGGGTTGGGCTCAGCATCACTGTCTTCATGAGCTGAGCTGTTATCCCTGCTGAGAGAACTTGGCGCTTCCATCCTCTGAGAGGCAGCTGAGCCGGCCTCGCAGGCCAGGCTTGGTGATGGCGACATCCCTCAGGACTGTCCTCCTCCTGCCGAAGCGGCCCACAGGCCTGATCCCACGGCCCGTGTACCAGGCAGGATTGATGTCAGGGGCTGGAAGGAAAGAGGCAGAGCAGATATGGGATGCTTGGCACACAGGAGCAGTGTCTCCCACACAGAGCCTCTAAGCTGATGGAAACCATGTCGTCACCCACACCTAGTGAGACTGGCCAGGCCATGTCTGGACAGTGGTGTGGCTTTGGGATGTGAATTTGGATGTATGCCAGGACCAGCATTCCCTTCCTGTCCCACTCGCTCCCCAAGTTCTTAAGGGGCCCGGCCAAGATGGGTAGGGACATGGTGAGGGCAGCAGACAGGACCATTCTGGGGAGAGGCTTGCTTAACAGAATCAACCTCCAAACTGACTGTGTGGCAGGGAGCTTTGGCTTAGGTCTCACTGGTTCTCAGCCTGTGGGTCGTTACCCACATAGGGTCAAATATCAGATATCCTGCATATCGGATAATTACATTACAAAATAACAGTTCTAAAGTAGCAACAAAAATAAGTTTATGTTGGGGGTCATCATGGATGAAGAACTGTATTAAAGGGTCGCAGCATTAGGAAAGTTGAGAACCACTGGCTTAGGAGATGGCCAAGCCCCATTCAGGTGCTGGGCACTCAAGGTGTCTGGGGAGGGTGTGGAGGGCAGGGCGAGGGGGGTTGCCCTCCATAAGCCGGGCACTCACTGCGCGTCTCCATGGAGTGCTGGTGGGCTCGGCTGCAAGCTCCTGGGAGGACTGAGCCTAGCAGCAGCAAGCACAGAAGCCACACCCTCAGTTCCATGCTTCTGGATTCCTCAGTGATGCCCTGGAGACTGGATCCCACCGGGACAGTATGGCCTGGGGGGTAGAGGCACAATGGTGAGTTGTATGCACAAAGCTCGGAGGACCCTGGGTTGTCTGTGCAGATGTACACATATGCATAGTGCGTGTGCCTATGCGGTGTGCAAATGCATGTGGCTCATGTGCATGGCTGCAGTTCTCAGGAGAGAGGGGTGTGAGCTGTGCACAGGTGGACATCTTTGGCCTGTCTGTCCATCTGTCTGAGGACTTAGGAGATAGACACCCAGGTCTTGATGGGAGGCAGGTTCTGGGGATCCCTGTTTGTACCAGAAGTGGAAGAACAAATTGCTCAGCCTCAGAGGTAGTCAGGGGTTTGAGAGTACTGAGACCTCAGTGCCCAGTCCTCCCCCAGCCTTGGCCCAGTGGCCACTGCCACCGAGAGCTAAGCAGGCAATGGAGGACACTTAGCATCCTCCATCCCTAGTGAATGCACAGCCCCCACAATAACCCAGAACTTCAGACAAAGTTTGCTGAGGCTCCAGAATGAGTCTGTAGTACTCGCCCCTCTTCACAGAGCCCTCTTGAGTGACAGAGGAACAGGGACCTTGCTGGAGGAGACTGCTGACTCACTACATAGCATCCTTCTGTGGTACCTCCTGCTGGAGACCCTTTTCTCCTCACCCCCAACCCCTGACATTTCAGGTTCCATTAGAAGATGCTCCAGGACTTCATCTGCTTCAAGGAAGACCCTCAGCTGACCTTGACTTTCCAGCTCCTCCTTGACCACACAGAAAGAGCTATCCACCCGAGGCCTTCAACAATGCCTGTCCACCTCCTCTTCACAGTCCAGAGGCTGTACTACACAACAGAGGGCAACCTCAACTAGAGGACGTGAAGGTGTCACCATGGATCTCTGTAAAGACTGCACCCACTCAGGCTAGGTGATGGATGACTAGAATGCTAGGGGACCCTGGTTCCTGAGCCCCAGGTACCCACTTTCTGGAGTGAGTGTCAGAGTCCCCAGGAGGGCATCGGTCCTATCCCACAGACCACAGTTAGGCCTCTCTCCTTGGTGACCACACCTGGCTGCCCAGTAAGCCTGGTAGAAAACCCGTGTAGAAGAGCTGTCTGTCACCGCAACACCCGCCCCTCCAGCATTGCCAAGCTACTCACCTGCTGTCCCTTGAGTGTGATGACACGGCTGCCTGGGAGTGAGGTGAGGCCTCACCTTTTATAGGCCAACAAGGAGGCAACGGAAGCCCCCGTCCCCTCCCCGAGATGGCGTAAAGCCTGCAGTCCCCATCTGTGTCTCCTCCCTCATCAAGACACTCCATCTTTTTTTTTTTTTTTTTCTTTCCTTTCCTTTTTACCTTAAAAAAACTCTCATCAGCAGTGTGATTTGTTCCTTCCTGAATTACATAATTTCATTTGGGCCAAGTGGCTTTAAAACACATTAACCTCCCCTTCTTCACCCTCGCCTTTGGGCAGACTCCTCAGTGACGTGTCCACCCGTCCTCTCAATGCGACCACGGCCGTCAAACTGAAATATGCCCTCTTCTGAACGCTCTGTACCCCCCCTTTCCTGCCTCACCTGGGCCATGGCTTCCTGGAATGGTGGCCAGGAAGCCCCTCACACCCAGGTGGGTGCTTCCTGCTCTAGCTGTCCCCTCAGCTTGCTTACCCACACACCCGTCTTTAGACCCATTTCTTCTATTCCATCCTGAGTCTGTGATGTAGACCACGCCAAGTTTATTGATATAAAACAAACAGAAGCCTGGTGGCATGTGACTGCAACCCCAGCAACTCAGAAAAGTGAAGCAGGAGGATGGCTGTGAGTTCAAGACCAGCCTGTCTCAATAAAACCAAATAAAACATTGAAAACAAAACAGAGAGGCTTACTTTTATCGTAAAGAAAGTTTAAAGGCGGAATGAAGTGGTGTTGTTATCTATAACCCCAGCGCTGAGGTAGCGTGCAGAGATGGAAGTTCCTTGAAGCTCATTGGCCAGTCAGCTGAATTGACAACCTCTGTGTTCAGTGACTCAAAAAAAAAAAAAAAAAAGAAAAAGAAAAAGACACCCAGAGCTGATCTCTGGTCTCCATGAGCAAGTACACAGTCCCCACATAAACCTGTACAGAGATCATCCCCACACATACAAAACAACTTTTTAAAAGGAAGTTTATTTGTCTGTAAAATCAATTTATATGCAATGAGAAAGAAATTGGTGCACACAAAAAATAGAGAAGAGAGCCCAGATATTGTGAAAAGGTCAGTGTTTTCACTGTGGGTTTTTACTCTTGGTGAGTCTCCTAAGCCTTCTGGGTAGACTCAGCCTGCTTGCGGGTGTTGAACCTCGTTCTTTTTTCATTATCTCCTGGAATTGTTAAAATATCTGTAGGTCTACGCTGTTGAAAATAACTATGCAGTATTTGCAGTAATCTGCCATTTAACGTGGACCATGTCAATTGTTACAGATGATATGAACTACTATTTACGTGCAATAGAACGTTCTTGAAGGAACTATGGCAGAGAAGAGGCAGAGCGTGTGTACTCCCTGGGATTGCCATTTCCTAGCCACCTGGTGCCAGACTTGCAGGAAGAGCTTCAGGCTGCCGCTTTACTCTTTGGGTACTTGGTCAATGCAACCCCTATTTTCTCAAGCATGGCTGTCCGCCTCATCCTTGGAGAAGGGCTCTCTGGTCAGAGGGCTCCTTGGGAGATCTGGTAAGAGGTGGATATGATAGAATACTCTATAAGGAGGTAGGCATAGCCTAAAGATTAGGCTCATGGGAGCTGTGAACATTTGCTTGGCGCCTTGGTTCTGTCTGTGGCTAGCTCAGGCATTAGCAATGGTGAAAATCTGGCCTCCCACCCCGGTGACAACTGCCATGGTGGAGCATGCTTCTGTCTTGGAGGTGGGTCCTATGGGAAACAGATGTGGCTCAGTCCTAGGGCCCAAGGGGACTGCTGTGAGACTTTGGGAGCTGGAGTGAGTACCCTGAATATTATTGTGGGTCCCCCCCCCCACTTTCTGTGTAGAATTTTACTTCTAGTAAAGTAGCTTCATCAAAGTGTAGTATGGATATATTGTCCCTCTGGGAGCCAGCAGGCAGCGTGGGAGGCAGCACAAGGATTTTGGTCCTCAGCCTAGCCTCCTCACCAATACGTGATGACACCAGGAAAAGGGTGTGCGGACTTGAGGGATGCTTTGGCTGGGCTGGAGATGTTCCAGAGGCAGGTGGCAGAGTGCAGGTGAGGTGTGGCCTGTACTGCTGTTGTAGCACCCCACAGAGCTGCAGGCCTCACCCGGGTACCTTAGAGCTGAGAAGTGGGTTGCACCGAGGGTTGACAGGAGATCAGGGAGTCCCCATGAGCAGGGTTACATGGGGAGGCAGAGCCTGTGTCCCTATCACCTGTATCCCTTCCCTGGGATCATTTGTGTCCCTGGGCTGCAGGAGAAAGCTCTGTGCCTTTCCCACAGTCCTAGGTGAGTGGATTTCTGTTCCTTGCAGTGAAGGGAGCCCCGCTTGAATAGGACTCCCTGGACAGTGCCCACCCACTGGCCTTCCTCAGGCTTTCATCAGAGCGATGAGGACCCTTCTATTTGGGGTACACTGCAAAGTTTTGAGGTCTTTGAACTCTCACGATGTGTAGTGGGTCAGACAGTATCTCCCCAGTTCACACCCATCTAGAACCTCAGGAAACAATCATCTGTGGAAATAGGGTCTTTGCAAGCATATTGACTGAGGCAGTCATACTGGGTAAGGGTGGACTGGCATTCAACGAAGGCTGTCCTGAGAAGAGGACAGCCATTCGGAGACATACAAGGCCAGGAGACATGAAGGCGAGGACGGGGACAGTAAGTTCACGACCTGAAGCCAAGGTGAACTGGGATGACTGCAACTCTCAGCACACATGTCTCTGTTCATACAGCAATCATATGGAACACCCTGCTGTGTCTATCTTTGTGACTGTCCCCAGGAGCAGGCAGAGGCACCCACCCCTCAGAACTGCAGGTCCTACTGACTCCTTGACTGGACCTTTGTCCTCTGACACTTAGGAGGACACATTTCCTGTGGTCACGATTAGCTTGTTTTGCGGCACTTTGCTAGGACACAGGAAACAACTGTGGAGCTTCTCTGTGGAGGAGTGAGAGGTTTCTTCCTGGAGTTAATTCTCAGAAGACACTCGTATGTTTGTGACTCTGGCCTGCGTGTTCTCTGGACTCTTGGAACATGATAGAAGCTGATGGGAAAGAGGCAGCCTGAAGTGGAGGAGCCCTCTCCCTCCCTCCCTGTAGTGGTGGGGTGGCTGTGAAGGGCCGACTCTGCAGTCATCAGTAAGTCTGGCTCTGACACACTTGGCTTTGGAAGATCTGAATTCTTGATAAAACCCAAATCGGTCATCTGTGTGGGCTAGAAACCTGCACTTGAAGCACGAACTGTCTAAAAAGTGAGGTCTCTATGTAATGTACCTCAGAAGTCTGTGATAGAGGTTTGGTTTCAGTGTGGCACTGAGGGTGCCACGTGGTTATGGCACTGGAAATGCTGGGGTGTGGGGTGATCAGTGTTATTTGCTCCTGTCTGTGACCCAACAAGGACAAATGAAGAACAAGGTCTGTGGCGGGGAGGGGTGAGGATTCTCCTCCTCCTCATTCGCCATCATACCCACAGACACGCTTGCATCTGCCTCTTTCCTGAGCAGTCAGGAATGCATACATGCTCAGGGCCTCCACGGAACCATCTCTTTCCATTCCATCTGTGAAGACAGCTCAGCAGAGCCTAGACACAGGGTTGAAGGATCGTAGGGAGAGGGTGTCTGAGTATCCTCTGGCAGTCAGGGAACTGAGTCACATCGTCTGTATCTCCCGGGTCAGGCTGGCAGGTGGCCTGGCTCTGGTGACACCTGCCTGCTCACAGGTGGGCACACACAGGAAGTTCTTCTTACTTCTCACTGGGGTGAAGATGACAAGCAGCTGTGAGCATGGAGAAGCACAGAGCCCGTGGGGTGCAATGGCCGTGTGAAGGAAACAGCGTGGGGGCACTCTGTGGTACCATCCTGTGCCCGTGAGCCCCCCTAAGGCTGCTGGGCCATCACGGGTTTCTGTAGAGCACAAACACATTCATTTGGTTCATGTGCAAAGTATACACACAGAAGTAAACAAATATCCTCCCCATTAGATGACAGGTACATACAGATGTAACGGGAAACATACATTTGGGGGTATAGACACAAACTTAGATGCACGTATGTACACACACATGCCCACCTGTTGGCACACGCAGATCCATACACCAGCATGTGCAATATAATGTATGAATATACAGACAGACACATGTACTGTGCACATAGACACACACAAGTATGTACACTGCTACCCAGGCATGCACAGACATACATCCCAGCATGTACAGGACACATAGGTACACACATAGGCATGTATGAAGACATACATGTGCCTACAGACATAGGATGAGGAAAAATATATGTAAGCATGTATACAGATAGACACAATCTCAGACATGTTAATGTACACACAGTACCCAGGCACACAGGCACGCACCACTCAATTCTTGTCTTTGCTTTTCACCAGCCTTAGTCAAGTCCTTGTTTTGTTGTTGATGTTTGTTTTTTTGAGAGGGGGTCTCTCTACATAGTCTTGGCATAGTCTACAAGTCCTCGTCTTGATGTAGAGAATGGTATTGAACTCACAGAGATCTGTCTGCCTCTGGAGTGCTGGAACTAAAGTTGTGCACTTCCATGCTTGGCTTTCTTGTTTTGTTTTATTTGTCTTTTTAAGAATAACTTCTCTGTAACTGTTTTCCAGATATGAGTTTCCATCCACTGAGATGTGTTAAGGGAAAGTACCTGACAACCCAGAGCTTTCAAAGGAAAGGAGCTTGATTTGATTTGGCTAAGATTTCATTGGCAGACATGCCCTTCATCATCCTCAGTTCTCCTTAAGGGGTGGTCGCCCTCCAGCTAGGAGGGTCAGGCAGACTCGGGTGTCCCTGCCCTAACACTCACTGTGGTGGGCGTGCAGACTCCTGCAAAGAAGAGGTCCCCAGTCTCACGAGTGTCTACTGGTCTGGCATCTCCACCTTGTGACACACCCAGTCTTTTAAACAGGGAGTCCATGACCAAGAGAGGCCATGGTTTGTATGGGTCCCCAGTAGGGCCTATGCACTGAGGATGTTTTGGGGCACTGCCTCCATCCGGCCTCTTGAGGAAAACGAGCTTGCAAGATGTGGTGGGCTCAGTGGGCTCCTGTATGGAAGCTTTCTCCAGAGCCTGGCTGTGGGATCTACCCCTGGCTGTCGCTCTGGGGAAGGATCTACCCCTGGCTGTCGCTCTGGGGAAGGATCTGCCCCTGGCTGTCGCTCT